TCCCAACATCCCCTGACATGGGCACCCTTGGGGAGCCCTGCTTTACTCATGGGGAAATTGAGGCACAAGGTGGCAATGCCCAGGCCACACAATGTGGGGGTTTTCAGGGTCTGCACTCAACATACTGGGGAGTCACTGCCAGGGGTCAGGGGTCCCTCTGTGACCAATGTCCCCTGCGACACTTGGGATAACTGTGGCCATCAGGGCCTTGGAAGCTTTCTGGCATGGGGTACAAGGCCAGAATACCCCACAGAGGAAGCCAAGACCATGTACACTCTCAGGATCCCATACTAGGCCACATTTCTACATTCTTCCTCTGCCAACCACAGGCCAGCTGTGCCCTGCACAGGACTCTTGGTGTTCCCAGGGGATTTCTGGGCACATACATCTTAGAGACATGGCCAGGGATTCATGGTATAGAAGACTGTAACAGAAAGTGAGGGGAAAACACATTTCACAAAGCACATTGTCGTCAGCCCTGTGCACACAGCTCTGCCATGGCATAAATCGGGTTAGCGATGCAGGGTGGCAGCAACTAACCGTGCAGCATGGGAGGCACTGTCACTGACAGCAGGGGAACATGGCTGTCAGTTCTCATGGTCATTAAGCTCAGTGCTCCCTACCCAGTGACTGCTGCTACCAACCTTCAACAAGGGCATGATGACATGGCACTAAAATGGCCACCTCCAGACTTTGACCCCCAACTCTGTGGAAGTCCTCCCAACTCCGATGTCTACCCCCTCAGGTGTGCCAAGCATTCCTGGGAGAAATGACATCCAGCCATGGGGACTATGAAAGAAACAGAAGCTACTAAGTGTACAGCCAGAGCCAGAGCCAGAGCCAGACTCTCGAATGCATCCCTTGTCTCATTGGAGCTAAGCGTGATGGAGTTGTGGTGAGTCCCTGCTGGGAGAGCCCTGTCCCCTAAAGTGTGCAGGCCAAGGCTGAGCTTCCCATATTGTATGGGGCCTGTGATCAGGAGAGGGCTACTGCAATAGCCAGCGAGGAGCAAGGAAGAGCGAGGCTGTGCAAGCGGCACCCCTCCCTGGAGAATCCCTTTCATCTCCTGCTTCTGACCTAGCTATAGAGAGGCTGCTCCAGCCTGCCAGGGCTGGCAATGTGGACAGGCAGACTGTGCCAAAGGCTCACACATGCCATCAGGCCTGAAGACTCTGAAGGGGAGCACTAACCTGGAGCACCCCAGAGGCTCACTCCCATCACACACCCACACCTACACCCACTTATGCACATCTACTGAACAGGGCATGTTGGACATGGTGCCTGGTGTACAGCACTGGCAAAGTTGCTTGGCCTCTCTGTTCTTGTCTGTCAGCCCAGGGTCAGCATTCCATAGAGTGTGCTGGCTTCAGAGACCCAGGAATGAGCCACCTTAAGGGGAGCACGTGGAAATGCCAGGGACTTGGTGGGCACTCACCCCTCCCCAACCCCACCAGGCACTGGCAGCCCTGCCCAAGCTCATTCAAGGCCCTTGATGTACATCTGGGAGGCAAAGAGATCCAGCTGAGCCGCTGAACTTTCTGGATTCTTAGCTTTGTTTCATTTTTGCATCTGAGTCAGGGTCATGCTCTGTAGATCAGGCTGTGACCAAACTCACAGCAATTCTCCTGCCTTAGCTTTTTGGGTGTTGGGATTCCATGTGAGCACCAAGCACAGCTCAGAAATTTGTAAGGACAGATGCCATCAAGGCTGGCCCATCTGGTTGACTTTTAACCCTCACCTCAAAACCAAACCAACAAAACCTCTGCTGCCAACAGCTGGTGCCATAGAGTTCCTGCCGCATACGGAAGAGGCTCTTTGGAGGTGCCCACCACAACCAAGGCCACACCCAAGCACCCTGCGGTGACCACAGAGGGAAAGCCACAGGAAGACTCAGGCAGACAGAGCTAGTGCAGCTTCTTAGCTGACCCCATGTCTCCACACAGCCAGTTTCTACCAAGTTCAGATGAGGAGCCCCATCCCGTCCCATGAATAAGCGGGAGATGAGGCTCATGGCCCATGACCTGCTCTTTAAGTCAGACCCCTGGGTTGGTTACTTCTCCACACCACTAAAGGAGGGACACACACCATGAAGAATTCCTTGGTGGCTGTGTTACAGTCCCTGAGCACATGTTATTTTTTCTGTCTATGAGACTATACTGCACCTGTCCCACCAAGCGTCACAGCAAGCATGACTTGTGAGATGGCCTTCTGCAAACGGTGCTTCTGCAGCTGATCCAAGGGTCTGGGGCCTGTGTCCCAGGTGGCCTAGATCTCCCAATACCAGGCCTCTTGCCTGTCCTCAGGATAAAGCTGAACCTCCTACAAACTCTGAGTTTCACATGCACAATCCAGAAAATTCTTCACTTGGAGAACATAGCTGGGCTTAGCCCATGAACAGCCTGTATGTTTCCACCCACTGCTCACAGGAGTGGCTGTACTCATAGATCTGCAGAGAAACAACTGGGGCTGTGACTGGAAGATCTACTGGGGCCACTAAGGTGTGGCTTCCAGCCATGGAAGTAGCCTGTGTTGAGTGAATAACTGTAAAATATTCACAGACCTACAGGACTCTCAGTGATGCCTAGCCTCAGAACACATCATCATCTTATCAGGAAGCCCTGTCCCCTCCCCAACCCTGGCACCCACATCCATCTTCCCACTTTTGGATTCCCCGGTCTGCATGGTCTCCATCATGGAGTCCACACCATGAGGCTTCAGGATGATTAAGCATGACGTCGCTGAGGACTTCACAGGGCAGCAGGTCAGAGGGTTCTCCCCTCTCCGACACATGGGTTGCAGGGGTGTGCACACTCTGCCGTCCCCTCCCCTGCTATCTGCTTTAGCACTCCTTTCTGACAGCCACACTTCCTGGTGTCCCTCAGCTGGCTGGAGGGGAGCAGACAGAGTTGTCTCCAGTGGCAGTGGTCCTTTTCCTAAGCATCCCTTGCTGAGGGGCCCTACACTGTTCTCCCAGGGACCTTAGTGGCCTCAGTATGGACTGGTTCCTGCCCAGAGGCTAGCCTATAGCTCCAATGAGTGTGAGCATTGCCTCCCACTGCCAGAGTCAAAGGGCTGCTGGCACATCTTGCTGCCTGGTCTCTGGATTAGAGCCCTCAGTGCCCCTCTTATGAAGGGAGAGGCATGGGCAGGGCTGAAGCCTACTAGCACAGCCAGCAAGTGCCTTCCTAGGAGACTCAGAGGGGGGTACCAGGCTGCAGAGAGGACCTGGCTTGGCACTATAGGGGGAGGTGAACAACTCTCATGCTGGTGGCTCCTGTGCCTTTGGGACATACTGGTGGAGCTCCAGTGGCTACCATGGACCATGCATTCTTCTGCAAAGTGGCACCTGCCCTGCCACTGAGCAGGAGAGGGAGGAAGGCAGTTTGCCTGTAGCTCCCTATCTGTCACTGTGCATGTGCAAGGGCAGGTGAGGTCCCAGGAGAATGGGGATAAGCCAAAAAGGACACAGCCTGTGCATGCAGGCTGAGGGGTGAGGAGGGCTATGACTACCATGTGGGAACTGCTAAACTGGAAGCAAAAGGCTGGGAGAAGACAGGAGAGCAGGCACTTGCCTGCCCAGGTGCCTTGGGACTCAGACCCCGTCCTGCCTTAGCACCCCTCACAGCCTCTATGTCCACAAGGCTGCCTTAGCACCCCTCACAGCCTCTATGTCCACAAGGGCTGGGGAGCAGTAGTCCTAGTTCCCAGTCCCTACTATGAGGCTCAGGAGTCTACCTTCAGCTGGCCATGCGTCCCCCTCACTGGTGCATCCCCCACATGAGGGCCGCCCTGGGATGGTGCTGTGCTTGCCATCCTGCCCTGTCCCTGGCTGGTCTGAGGTGCCTCGGGCCACTTGTTCCCTAATTTCACGCTACACTGCTTGACAATGTGAGCATGGCACCATTGCGATGGCACTCCCCAAATGCTGCTTGTTTGTGAACACATGGCTGAGCCTGGAATTACTTTTACTATCTGGGCAGTTCCTGTTATGACTGCGGCTGAGACAGCTCTGAAAGCACAGGCTCCACCATCACGGCTCAATCTGCCACAGGTGCAGGTGATCTTGGCTGCCATCCCACCAGCCCTGGCCATGCAAGGTATCTAATCAATCAAAACAGGACACAGGTCCCAAACCCAGGTCATGCCATCTGCCCGCAGACTGAGTGTTTCATGAAGACTGAAGTCAGGCTCCCGGTCCATGCCATGAGCACTTGCCACAAAAGGAGACAATCACCCCATGAAGCAAAATAAGGGCAGCAAGCAAGCAAGAGAAGATGGGGAATGGCCCAGCAGCCAATGGTCTGACTTCCCATCCTCAGAACTCACATAAAGTTGGGTCTACTAGTTAGTGCATGCCAGTGAGATGGGAGACAGGTGGAGTACCCTAGAAGCCATGGCCAGGAGACCCTGTCTCACACAGGAAGACAACGGATAATGGAATATATGTGCACACAAAAGCAAATGAACATGAGGAAGAAAAGTATCAACATAGATAAAAAGTTAAATGATGGCCCAGTCCTGGGTGTGGGGTCATCCTGTGGTCCAACCACTAGGGAGAATGAGGCAGGACCAGGCCAGACCATGTTTGATGTCTCAAAAACCAAAACAAACTAACAAATAACTTGGCTCAATACCCAAGGCCAGCTTGCCAGACAGTACTGCCCAGAGAGAGGGAGTCGCTGCAGAGCACTAGAAATGAAAAACCAAGCCAGGCAGTGGTGGAGCACACCTTTAATCCCAGCACTCTGGAGGCAGAGGCAGAAGAATCTCTGAATTCGAGGCCAGCCTGGCCTACAGAGCGAGTTCCAGGACTATAGAGAAACCCTGTCTAGAAAATAACAGGGGGGAGGGAGGGAGGAAGGGAGGGAGGGAAGGAGGGAGGGAGGGAACAGAAGCACAAATACCAGTCTCCATGAACACTCCCAGCAGCTGGGGCACACCCATGTGAGTATAGGGCTGCTCCACCTACTTTCTGAACCCGAGATGACTGTCACACCTACCTGGGTGGCCACTTTGCCATAGTCGATCCAGCGTAGTGTGGCAAAGTTGGTGGACTCAGCACAGTTGAAGCCGTGGTTGAAGCCCGCATGGTAACCATAGGGGAATGTGATCATGAACTCCCCGGCTTCCTGTGTGATCTACGGAGGAGAATGATGAACTCAGTGGATGATGCTGGTTTGAGGGTGGTCCACAGCTGCTGGAGCCCTGTGATGAACTTGTGGGTTCAGCAAGGACCCAGAGCTCAGGAACCTGTGGGACCCTGTCAGGCTTAAAGAGTGTGGGTTTAGGGCTGATGAGATGACTCAGAGCTATAGGCATTTGCTGCCAGACCTAACAACCTGGGTTCAGCCCCCAGGCTGTACTCAAACCCGACTTCTATGGGTTATCCTCAGACCTCAGCATGCATGCCATAGCATTCACACGCACAATATACATAAACAGTTTTGTTTTGTTTTTGTTTTTTTAAAGACAGAGCTGGACATGGTGGTTTACACCTTTAAACCCAGCACTTAGAGGCAAGTGGATCTCTGTGAGTTCCAGGCTAGTCTGGTCTACACAGTGAGGCACTGTCTCAAGCAACCATGTAGGAAAGCTGGAGCATGTCAGTCATTCTAGCTCCTGGTGGCTGAGGCAAGAGAGTCACTAGTTTGAGACGAGGCTAGACTACACGAAAAGACCTGGTTCTAGCCCTGGCCACCAAAGGACACAGAGCAAGCAGCATGTTCCCCACTCTGCACCATGGCCATCATGGCCTGGCCACCCCACCCAGCCCAGAATATAACACTGGGCCATTGACTGCTCTAGCTTCACCCACCCACACTGAGTCCAGGCTGAGCACATGCAAGCAGTGTCCTCTCGTGCACAGGTGCTCTCCATGACATCACCGTTGCATATAGCTCTCCATGAGGCAGGCTCTGGGGACAGCGCTCATAGCACTAAGAATATTCTGGAACACCTGCCTATCTACAGACCCCAGTCCATGAGACAAAGGCTGTGTCACAGCACAGGAGTGACAGAATACATACTCCTCGGAGGATGAGCAGAGCCTCATCCGTGATTGGGAAACTGAGGTTCCAGGAAGAAGAGGGTATCTCTCAGACGTTGCGGAGTCCTCACTGTCCACTGCACAAGCAGGAAGGCGCGAAGAGCGCAAGTGTGTGGGAGTCTGAGCTTGACATGTGCCGACAAAGGAGGAAGGTTCCAGAGCCCTGGGGAGGCCCTGCCCCTCAGCTTGGCTAACTCTGCAACTCTCCTCACCCTGTCTCTAGCACACAGGATATTTACTGGCTCAGGGCTTCTGAGCCTTCACAGATGGCCCAGCTGTATGCCTGCCAGTGGCTGGCTCACTGTGACACACATCACACTGAGAAGGTGTCAGGCATCTTCTCTCTGAGCATCCAAGTGACAAAGGTCCTAGGCGTGGGTGTTTCCCCCACAGGCCACTGAGTCCATGCCATTGGATTTCTCTGGGCAACTCTGGGGAAGAGAGAGTGGACACTATGGTGGGGGACTTACAGCACCAGCCACTTATCAAAATAATCCATCAAAACCAACATGCACCGGAGCACAGCCTGCCCTGGAGAATGCACCAATATTTTTCTTCTCAAATAATTAATTGCACCAATCAAGGGAAGTCAGCTACACCAAGCTATGTTTTAAAATTCCTACCCAAGTGACCAGCTACTCGTGACAAAATGAAGGATGGTGGAGTGTCACTTAGGTGTGTACCTGGGTCCTGGCAGGCACAGCACCTCGGGAAATCTTAGCCACCTCATCATGAGCTCTAAGTGGTCAAGGGGAAGGAAGGTCTGAAGCTTTAACAAACGTCCCTTCAGATAACAGTGGTGATACTGGCTCACTGCTGGTCCTTTCCATGATGTTTAGCATTCACGGTACACACATGCTGGGAGGAGCTGTCACATTCAGTCTTCTGGGATAGCACGTACCACACACACTGAGGCCAACAGCGAGGATGCAGGCATGGGCAGACAGCACAGCCATGAGAGTCTTGCTCAGGGGTGACAGGACTGGGTTCTTGTCACTGCCACTGCATCCCAGATGCTGCTGAGCCCCTGTAGCTGCCTTCCCTTCACTGCTGTCAACAGAGCCCAGGGATAAATTAGGAGGCTTTAGATGATGGATGACTGGGCGGCAGAGCCACAGTGGCCAGGGCCGGCGCCAGTCAGGGAGAAAGTTGGGGACACTTCAGCAGGACAGATGAGGAAGTCGATGGCAGATTACAGAAATACACACTCTTAATTATTAACGAGCTGGCTATTGATCAGCTTTCCCTTTTAAAAGTAAATACCATTACAGACTCACAAGTGCAGTGTGCAGCTGCTTGTCTGAAGGGTGAGGAGGAATTCTGTGCAAGAGGACACTCATCTCTTGCCTGTTGCTCTGTCCTTAGGTCCAATCCCAAGGTGGGGCAGATACCTTCTGATGCAGGACAGGGACCTTCACCCACAAGCCTTTGAGGCAGGTCAAGCCCTGGACACCCAGCACAGCAGTGTGGGGAGCATGACTCTCGGTATCAGCTGCCTCTGTAAGTCTGAAGGTAAGCCAGCTGCCTTGGGCTGGGCACCATATGTATAATCCATGGTGCTGCCGAGACGCTGCCCAGGGGGAAAGGCAGTCACTCTGTCCATGGGGGTCCCTATGCATGAAGCACAGCCTGGAGAACAAAAGTTCCCCGCAAGCTGGTTGCAGTCACTTCTCACTTCCACCAAGCGACAATGCTGCCACCTAACAGTGCAATGTGTGCTTCTCAGAGCTAGAGCCAGGAGCAGCCTCCGGGCTGCACCAGCAGGAAGAACACAGCGGATGCTGCGGGTGCCTTGATTGAAATGTCAGAAGCAATTTCCAACATGCTGACACCCTGTGTGAGCATGGAGCAAGGGGGTCTCATCACAGAACTTGCTCCTGGGCTGACAAACTGCTCTTCAAAGGGACCTTCAGAAACAGCTGTCCTGAGGGCCCTCTCCCTCTCTGGTCCCCAGGGCATACAGGCTTGTACTCCTCTGCCAACACACACCCAGTTGGGCTGGCCTTCCCTACTGGTATGTGCCCTACCTTGCCTTAAGAAACATGATGTCCTAGGTCTGCAAACTTGTCAATCCAGGAGTAGGAAGTCCGTTGGCACCTCTCCCCCCAGCAGGTGTCACAGGCCTGGCTCACTCATCTCAGACCTCCTCCATCACAGCCTCTACAGCAGCACACCGAATGTGCTCAGTCTCCATGCCCAGGAACGCTGAGCCACTCACTACTAAGCAGGACACCTGACTCTGTGGCTAGCCACCCTGTTGGCTATAAGCTGCTAATAGCAAATGTGGCCTTGGCAGTGAGGGACTTGCACTCAGGCACAGGGCTTTATGTGGTTTGGAGACAGCAAAGACCCCAACAAACCCACATTTGTCCCGTGGTGTCCTCCACCTATTTCAACAGAAGAACCAAAACCAGTTGGTCACCATTCTAAAACCTTCTCTGGGGCCTGTACATACCCGGCTGAAGGGGATGCCATACTTCTTCAGGATGATGGGCGAGATGAGTGTCATCTTGTGCCTCAGGAAAGCATCGCAGCCCTGTGAGCTCCCAGGGAAGAAGCCTGGGATGGAGGAGAGCAGTGTCTGTCAGCGGGGGCTGTTGGCCTCATCCTAGGGATCAGGCACTGAGCTGGGACCTCAGACAGGTCTTAGGTCAATGCCAAAGCCCTGGGCTCAGTGGAATGGATCACTGCATGTCGATACCCAGCAGTGTAGAAGACAGAAGCAGCTACCATTCATGTAACTGCCTAACAGACACCTTTCCAACAAGCTCTCGAGAGAGAGCCCACCCTGTTCATCAGGATGGCCTCTAAGGTACCTGAGCACACAGCCTCTGGGAGCCAGCATCCCAGGACCATATGGGTAGGCATGCAAGCTCATAACATTCAGCATCTCCCTGGAGGCTACCGGAAGCTCAGTGGAACAAGGCTAAGACTCAAAAGTCACCACCAAGAGGCAATACAGGTACAGCAGCTGTGTGTGAGTGGCCTCCAGGTCTCAGCACCTCAGCAGTCCACAGGAGAAAGTGAGGCCCCAGGACATAACTGACCTCAGGACAGGGAGCAGCCTATGTTCTCACTGGGGTACCTTTGCTTCCCCAGGCAGAAGATGGCTATTTCAAAGCTCAACCTCATCCTGGAGACCCAACAAGGATACTGGCCCTGGGCTCCTTGGGGTGGAATGCACAGTTCCCACTGTGAAGGGAAGGTCCCTGCAGAAGCCCTGGGTAGGCTGGAGCTTGGTCACACCCTGTCAGAACCAGCTCTACAGAAGCCAAAATGAGGAACACAGGACAACTAAGGCAGGACACACCAAGTCCCTAGACTCACTGCTCATCACACTGGCCTGTGCGTCCTCAGAATATGCCTGTACTCTATCATCCCACCACAGCAGGGGGCCACAGAAGTCTGCTGTGGGCAAAGCAGAGGATGATGGCAGAAATGACCCACAGCCTCTGTCTGAGGAACCTGCCAGAAACCCACACAAACACATGCCCCAGCCTCCAGGCCAGCACGCCCCTAGTCAGTATCTACTTCAAGAGCACATGTGTTCATGTGTGTGAAAGCACCCACAGATGTGTGAACAGGTGCAGGGCCAGTAGGGCCTGGTGGAGGCTCCGGCTGCTGACAGGAGGCTACGCTGGAGGAGCAGGCTCCAGAGGGGATGAGGGCCGAGTCCCCATCTTTCCTTCCTTGGTGCTAAAAGTGCCTTGGTTAAAATTATGACTGCCGCCGCCAGCCACACGTCCCCCTTTTAATGCATGGCTTAAGTGGCTCTCATTAGGGCCCTAATAAAGGCTTGCATCTGAAGTGATTATCGCCCCCACATTAGTGCTCTCCCGTGGGCACCTCTCCCTGTAAACCCATTTATGGCTCAGCTATTCATTTTCTGTGCTAACCATGAGCCCACTCCACCCGGCTCTGCCGTGGGTGGCATCACTGGTGCATGCCCAAAGTCTCTGGGCTGCCTAGGCCAGAGCTGTGAGGGAGCTGCGTGTGGCCTCCTGCAGACACTGCTGTGTCATGCATCCAGCCTCCCTGTCCTGCCCCCACCTTCACTCTCCCCTGGGCAGACTGCTCAGTCCCTCCTCCGGCTTCAGGCAGCTGCCCCACCCTGCCGGTTCTTTTTTCTTCTTTTGAAGGCAGGGTCTCACTACACGGTCCAGGCTGGTCTGGAACTCACAGAGATCCACCTGCTTCTGCTATACAGGCCAGATGTTTGAACCAACCACTCTGGAGCCTCAGAACTGAAACTCTGCAGCTGGCTCTCCTCTCCCCCTCAGTTTCTGCACACACTTTCTGGAAAGGCAAGCTGCCATCCCCTACAGCCCCTGCTGGCCCTGGGAATAGGGTTGTGGCTACCGGGGTGGATAGAGGGCTTGAGATAATGACTATTCGTCATTCCGAGGATGGCTGTCTCCACAAAGGAGGCGACAGAGCAAGAACCACCTGAGCCTGGCTGGCTGAACCACCTCACATGCAGATAGAGACACCGGAGACACCGTCAGTCAGCGGGGGCCAGGCAGCAACTGTGAGCTGGTCCCAGGCCCTGAGCTGGGGGCTGAAGAACATTTTCTTTATGTTTTACAGGTGGTATCAGCTCACTCAGGACAGCCCCAGAGCCTGTGACATCACTTCCAGGGTCAGAAGAGACTCTGCAGATGGCTCAAGTGAAAGACCCTAAGCCAGGAGCATCCTATATCACCTTAGGCCCAGCATCCTCATGAGCCCTCAGAGGGAGGCAGAAGGGGATGAGGCAGAGAACATGGGAGATGCTGTACTGTTGGCACTAGACTAGAAAGAAGAGGCAGAGAGTCAAGAGATGTGGGGCCTCTAGTATGGTGGGGGTTGCAGAACTCCCAGGACACCCTGCCGTGCCTATAGTCTCAGGACTGTAAGCTGTGGAGGCGCCATCTAGGCTGTTTATGACCACCAAGGTTGTGAGGCTCGGGCACAGTGGGGCTGGGAAGCAGTGGCCAGTGTTGCCTTAGGGGTCACACTCAAGTCCACCCTGTGAATGCTGCAAGGGGAGATGTCAAGGGTTCCATCTGCAGCTGTGGGTTTCCAGCAGATGGGTACCATAGGACCCAGGTTAGCCTTCCTGAGAGGATGTACAGTGTGACCGGTCCCTCTCAGTCCTGACAGCCCTGGCTAGCAGAAGATGAGGCCTACGTCAGAGCTTCTCTAGGGATGACAGAGGACAAATAGACCTTTCAGGTAGTGAGGACTCATACCCCTCAATGTGTGTGTCCTGAGGTGCCCACATAGAGACTTATACCTGAAGACAGGATGGATAAGCTGGACATGGTGGCATGGGCCTGTCACCCCAGCTCTTGGGAGGCTGTGGCAGGATTTTGAGTTCAAGGCTAGCCTGAGCTACAAAGTAAGTTCAAGACCAGCCTGGACAACTTTAGCAAAACCATGTGTCAAAAAGCCAACAAAAATCTGGGCAATATAGTGGCACACACCTTTCATCCCAGCACTCAGGAGGCAGAAGTAGGTGGATCTCTGTGAGTTTGAGGCCAGCCTGGTCTACAGAGAGAGTTCTAGGACAGCCAGGGCTACCCAGTGAAACCCTGTCTCGAAAAATCAAACACCAGAAACCAAAACAATGAAAAACAAAAACAAAAGCCAACTAAAGAATAAAACAACATGGCTGGAAGTGGCTCAGCAACAGAGTGCCTACCCAGCATGCTCAAGGCCTAGGTCCTATCCCAAGCATCAGAGCATGGTGAGAAAGGGACAGCTGGGCATGGTGGCACACTGCTGTTCCAGCACATCCTAGACTAGCAGGGAGATAAAGCGTTCTCCACCAGCCTAGGCTACTAATCTAAACCCAGTATCAAAACTAGGCATGGCCTGTGGGTGAGTGGGGCTGACGACAGGGACGGTTATACCCCATCTGAGGTCATGTCACTGGTGAAGACTGAGCTGCACTCCACTGACCTCTGTACCCAAAGCTTTGCCATCCTCCAGGGAGAGGGCCCAAAGAGATGACTGCAGACTGGTCATGTGACCAGGAGATAGGCACAGTGATATTCACCTGGCTGGGCCACCCACCCATCTCATCTTTGTCCCTGTCCCACCAGGGACATACCTACCTATGGCCAGGCGCTCCAGGCGCTTGCCGTGTTCCGGTGGGATGGCGTACCTATGAGAGAAGGGAGGCACATCAGAGCCAAGGACCTCTGGCCAGTGCAGTTCATACCCACAGACAGCAGACAGGCTGTCACCACTAAACCCTAAGGCAGCAGTCACACTGGAAAACTTCACAGCCAGGCATGGCCATGTCTTGGGACATGGTGGCTGTCACACTGGGGGAGCTCCTGGAGTGGAGTAGGCAGGCTGGGGCATTGCTCAGCATCCCTCAAGGCTCAGACACAAGAGGAGGCAGGAGCCAAGACACAGGAAACCACAACAGCCGAGAACTGAGGATTTTCCAATGAAATACAAAAGTGGTGGGAGACTCAGCCACCATCCTGTTGCTGCATCTACAGAGAATACAAAGGAATTCTTGGGTGCCCCCAGGACTCTGTCTGAGGAAACCCAGGCACCCAGAATTTCCATGTCTGGATAAGCTGAGGTCACACTTCCATCCAGGCCTTTTATCACTCATGCAATGACGCCGCCGAGTTCCTCACAGCTCAAAGCACCAGGATTCTGGGAGCCATGGGGTGGGGGGGGGTGGGAGGGGCGGCGGTGGGCAGGCTTCTGGGAAGCCACCCGAGGCCTGGAAGGAACAATTCCCACTCTGGCCGCAATGATGAATGCGGCATCCCCAGCCCACAGTGCCTTCCACTTAATTAGTGCCTGTAATTAGGAGTTATAAAGATAAGATTAATTGAATCTGGCGGCTGCTGGAAGTTTAATACATTGGAATATGCCTGGCGTTATCGGGAAGTACAGCCTGCAGGCTGCTGGCCAGGGGTGCAGAAGGGTGGTCTTGGGGAGACAAGCTTGTGGATGGGCGGCAGGGAGTGGCAGGGCTGGGAAACTATGCTTCACTGTAGCCATATGAGGCCACAAAAGCTGTGCCCGGCTGCAAGCCACAGCAAGCCAACACCTTGATTCCCAAACTGAAGCAGGGTGAGGATCCAACGCTGAGCCTGGAGGAGGCTGCAGAAGCCAGGGTGGCCGAACCCATCTGGAAGAACAGCTCTGGGTGGCCACAGCCAAGTGCAGAGCCAAACTTCCCATGGATCCTGTGGGGCTCCCAGCAGAGCCTCAGTGTGCTCCATAACCAGCCCCACAGCTGTGCTGGGCACCAGTTACACTCAGGCTCAGCTCTGGGCTGGGAACTGTGCACCACCCTGCTGAGGATTAGGAGCCGCCTCAGCACCATGACTCCATCTTGGAACTGCAACACAGGCAAGTACCCTCACCACAAAGTTCAAATCCTCACAGTGTCAATATCCTATAGCAGCTGTGCCCCAGACAGCACCACATCTGCATAGACAGCACCCACACTGGTCCTGGGCAGTGGCCATTGTTGTGATTGATCCAGGCTTTCTTGTGTGTCACTGCTTGCACACTGCCCACCTTGCACCCCCACCTCACCTCCTCTCTCCCACCTGTACAAATGTACCAAGTACACACACCCACACCCACACCCACATGCCCCATGTGTCTTGGCCCTGCCCCTCTAGGGCTGCCCTTGTCTCCACTAATAGCTGAGAAGCCTATACCTACCTGAACCAAGCCAGTCTACCCGTCCCAAGCCATCCTGGGGTGCCTCTGAGTTGGATACTAAGCAGACCATTCAAGGCCCTGGGATTCTGAGGTTTAGCTGGCTCTTCGTAGGAGATGCATATGCCAGAGACCTCATGTCAGGCAGGGTGTATCCTTCTGAATGATCCCCATAGTCCCCTGGCACTTGCCTCCATGTTCTAAAGCCTCTGCGGTCCATAAAGTACCTCTAGGAGACCTGCAGCAGAGACAGCTCTGTCTTGTGTCTCTAGCATTCTCCACAGACTTAGTCTCCCTGGCAACCATACCAAGATACTCTACACTGGCCATCAGGAGACAGCAGCTTTGTGCATGCATATGGGGGGGGGTGCTGAGGGACCCCTGGGAGACAGACCCAGGAATGGCGCAGAGGAGCAGAGCCCTCTGGGAGAATGAGAGCTCCTCCAGATGCAGTCCTGAGAAGGGGTGCTGGTTGTGGCCACTCTCCCCCAGTTAGTGCTCATGATACTATGCAAAAAAAAGTCTGAGGAAGGGCAAAGGTGAGTTTGGATAGAAGGTTCTAGAAGGAAGCAAGAGCTGGAGTTTCCAGGAAGGACAAGATAGCTAACTTGGCTCCTTACCTCTAAGGCAAGTTCTGCCTCCCCCAAACCCTACACTGAACCCACAAACCCATGCCAGGGCACAAGCAGTGACTCAGCCCTGTCTGTACCAACTATGGCTGACTCTGAAGAGTGACTAAACCATGTGGGGAAAGTCAGTCTGGGGCAAAGTGGGGATACAGGAGCCCCAAGTGCCCCAACATGAGATGGGGTGCATGAGCTCTGTGCCAGACTCACTGCCGTGAGTGGTGCTGAGCAGCCCAGGGCCATCTGGGGAGACACAATGGCACATAGCCCTGAGGGTACAGTACAGGTATTAAGTCGGGGGGGGGGGGATCTCAAAGTCTCAGGGTGCCATGGGTCTCCAGCCCTGTGGGTGGAACTAAGCAGCTAATCCCTGGTGCAATTGGATGAAGAGGCCTCAGCGGACACACCAGTCTCCCTTCCTGCCCTCCTGCCTGCCTCCCGCCCACAGAGGAGGCCACTATTAATAGTGCAATTTCCGTGGTGTTCTGTTTATCCCCCGGAAGGCCTGATGGATGTGAATAATTACCAGACTATAAAAGCCAGCGTATGTGCTGCTCTCTATCGCTCTAAATCATCAAACAAATAAAGCAAGAAACAGTGTTTCTGAATATAATTTTCCCCTCTAATGGCTCAGGATTATTACCAAGAACAACAAAAATAAATAAGCAAAAGCCTAACCAGTTAAAAACTGAACACTGTGTCAGGAAGGGACACAAAGGCCTGGTGGGGAGCAGGCTTGCATGGAGCCCCTCAACAGAGTGACAGTGAGCCACCGGCCATGTGTCTCAACTGCTCTCATGTTTCCTAAGCCTTCTGGCCTGTCTGGCTCCCACAAGCAAGATGCCTCACCAGGATTCTAGCCCCATCTGAGCCCTAAGCTCCCAGGCCCTGCTAGGGACCATCCTGGTCAGGCCCCACTGATGGCTTTGAGCTGGGGAGAGGAGACCATCCTCCAGCTGAGCTCAGCACTGTGATGTTAACACTGAGGCTGAGTGCCAAGCGGCTGGTGATGCAGTGCCAGCTGCTGAGGATGTGAGGGGTGACTCCACAGTGCCTGTGCACAGGCCACAGAGGTCAGGCCACGTGCCAGGTAAAGGCCCCTGGCACATGCATACTCAAGCTCTCACCAGAGTCCAGGATGTTACTATAAATTCAACTGCAATAGCTCTCCAGGGCCCCAAGAGCTGACCTGTCACATCCACCTTCAGACACAAAGCCCCCTGGGCTGAGAACAACAGGACAGATCCCATTCTGGGGTTCACAGAACCCAGCAGGATGGTTTTCTCTCCCCATGAGCCTGAAGCTGCCCAGGCCCCAGTGGGAGCAAGCCAGGGTAGTCCCCTGCTTGCACCATGAGACACAAAGACCAAAGACAGTGAAGACATATCTGATGATCACAGGATGACACATCAAATCCTCATGTGGTCCCTATACATAGGACCTTAGGATGGGTGTGTTGTCACCCCTCAAGAGGGCTATTTAAATGTTTTGGCTCTGAGGGTGGGGTCAATCAGTGTGTCAGCCACTACAATCAGAACCTCAAATGGCCTGGGCCCATCAGAGAAGCAAGCACTAGGTGGTAGGCCTCCCTCTGGAAAAGGCTGTGGCCCTGGCCACTTAAGACACAGTACCATGCCCACAGGCTGTGGCTCGGGAGAAGGCAGGGCTACCAACTGACTTAGGGGTACTGGCAAAGATTTCTTAGTGGAAGAGAAAGGAAGGACAAACAAACAAACGGCAACAACAAAAAAAGATGTCAAAATGGGTATGTCAAGTGACAGGCCAACCCCACAGGGGGGAACTGAACCACAGAACTGACCCCCAGGGATGCCTAGAAAACTGTTCCAGACCAAAAAAAAAAAATGCCAAGCCAGCTGGGTGTGGTAGTTCATGCCTTTAATCCCAGCACTCCAGAGACAAAGGCAGCATACTTCTGTGAGATCAAATCCAGCCAGGGCTACATAGCATGATCTTAGGGGAGGGAGGGAGGGGAGGAGAGAGGGAAGGATGACAGAGACAGAGACAGAGACAGAGAGAGAGAGAGAGAGAGAGAGAGAGAGAGAGAGAGAGAGAGAGAGAGAAACCAAGTCACTCCACATAAAAGCCTTCAGACAGCCAGGACAGGAAGGACTATGTTCCCAAGTGTCTCTGATACAGTAAAGGGTAACACTGAAGAGAGATCCGAAACAATGGGAGCTAGGTGGTGAGTGGCCCATCAAAGGCCCATCAAAAACCTCACCAGCTAGGTCCACACTGGAAACAATAGCCAATGGAATACAGCAGGAATGAGACAGGAGCGCTCACAGAATAACAAGTGGAACTGGCCAAGAACTAGCTGTTGGCTGAGCCAACAGCAGAAGGGACTCTGAGAAAACAGGGCTTAAAGAGAAGTAAATCAATGCTGCATGGAGTCCAAGGTCACCTGTCCTCTGTGCTCCCAACAAGGTAGAAAATACCCCCCTCCAAGATCCTTGAGGCCTATGGCCACACTACTAGTGAAATTGAGAAAGGGTGACCCCTCCACCCCACCCTAGCCACAGCCAGGACATCTTAGAAAGCAAACACAGAGGACATCTTGGTGTGACCAAAGAGGTCACTGCCGCTGAGTTACAAAAAGAGGGACCCCACAGGTCAGAGTAAAGCCTGGACAGGTGTTCAAGGTACCCTTGAACTCAGACATCTGGGCACCCAGGGCACACTGGCAAATACACTATCATCTACCCGCTGCCCACCAATGGAGAGGCCACAGAGGATCTGACACCCATGGGGAAGGCAAATGGGGGCTGCAAGCAGCTCCATATGAGCTAATGGGTTTCTGTGTACCCCAATTTGACCGCTA